TGCAAACAAATTCAAGCAGAAACTATCCAAAAACTCACAAGTTCAATGGATGCAAGACTTGTGAAGCTACTATCAAATAAGGGGTCCTATGTTACAATGTAACGTGACCTGTTTAAAATGTTTAAAAAGTTAAAATGTTGTTAAAAGTTTGATTGAAATAGCTTTTGATTTCAGTAAATATGCTGCAAACACAACAAATGACAATTTTCAATTCTTTACAACCTATAAAGTGTTTTGAAACTTACTGTGCGTAATAATTTGGAACAGTCGTTGGAAGTGTTTTATGTTTAACAAAAATACTGCTATTAGGAGGTTTGTTCAATAAAATTTGAATTGTACCCTTAATAGTTGATAACATGAGAATTATGCTGACTGTTATTTACATCAATTATTTAGGTAAATGAGAAAAAAATATCATTTGCATAATAATTTGGAACAGGGTGTATGTGGGGGTTGTGTTTGGAGTATAATGTATCCTGTGGAACAGATCGGCCTTCGACAGAACACACATGTCTGTACTTTATGTATTTTATGTAGTAAAAAGGTTAGACATCAATGAGGAACAAGTCTACTATGTTCTCTGACAGTTGTATTTGTAGGTAAAGATACTGCAACTTGTGGACAATGATATGCGGCTCTGGGAATCAGAGTGACTGTTGGAATAAAATCTTTTCACTGACCATGGATATGTCCAGCAAAGGAGATAGACCTGTTATGATTGGTGCTGATTGCATTAAAGATGGGTGCTATGTTGCTGTCAGCAAATCATGCATCTGATCTTCACCAGGATGTTTGGGTTATACACTTTTTGAATACAAATTCCGCTTTTAGTAGCTGAAGGTATGCATTATGATTTATTAATACTTCCTTTTTTTTTTAAACTTTGCTTGTTAATGCTAAAAATGACAGGAGATGTAGGCACACTTTAGGATCATCTTGTATCCTTTAGGCCCCTTTCACACTGACTGTCCAATCGGGTCCACCTGTCAGTTTTTCAGATGGACCCGATCAAACCATACACAGCTCAGGGGATTCGTTCCTCATCCGTCTAGCGGATCGGATGACAGTTGGGTGGAAACGGACAAGAGGTCGTTTCCATCCAACTTTCCCATAGAAAACAGTGGGCTGTGTCTGTGTCCGCTCTGCAGCAGCAGAGCAGACACAGACCTGTCATCCACTTGCTCAGCGGGGATCAGAGCTGTCTGAAAGGGACCTTTTAGTCATGCAGAGTTCAAAAATCAACACGTAATCAATCATTCTAAAATAGCAAGTATATGATGGCTCTGTTTTTTGTTTAAAAAGTCTCCTATCATTGTTTTCAGACTTTTTTCCTCCTGTGCCTGCTTCCTATTCTCCACTGAAGCACCTCACCGCTATTAGACTAGAATCAGACCTGTGCGGGCCACGATTTGCATGTGCATTTTAATGGGCTTTCATGCCCTGGGACATGCAAGAAAAAAGTCCCTGCACTATTTTTTAAATCGCAGTCCGCACAGGTACCAAGGTTCCCAGTACAGTTGTGATTTCTAGTGCAGGCAGCGTGCCATTAGAATTAATGTCACCCACCCGTGGGTCCCGCATTTCTCTGTGTGGGTGGTTGCGGCTGCCAGTATTTATGTGGGTCCCGCAGCAGCAGCACCCGCACAGATGTGAACCCAGCCTTAATGTAGAGCAGGCAGTGCTGTTATTTCTGATCACATCCTTCGCTGTATGTGTACTACAATTCCCATAGAGCTGAATGCGTCTACAAGTAGATGTGTGTTCCATTCTGGGGGAAGCGGAAGAAGGTAGCTACATTTGCATACACAAGGGAGGCATGGAAGGCAAACGTAGCCCACCCTAGAACAGGAAGTCTGGGAATAGCAGAAAAAGCTTTCATTTGAGAGATGAAACAAAGGAAAATAGAAGTATATTCTACTTATATTTAAGCATATTGTATTCATTTTATAAAAATGAGTTTAGTGTCATTTACTAAGTTATGAGTTCTACAGGACTTTATTAACTGTAATAAAAGATCTAAGGGTTGTGGGCCTTAACCTGGGTTGCACTGCACCATTTCACGGTATTGGCAAACTGGCGGCAGGGCGTGAGTGTTTTTTTTTTCATTATGCTGAGGATGGCTGTTAAATACTGCAATAGAATCTTCAATGAATTTCAAGCAACTTTCTTAGAGCCCTTTACATTAACCTTTCGGATGTTGTTTTGGAATGCTGAATACAGATCTTGATGGGAGTACAGATGAGCATTTACAAGCTAATATTAAACAGTGGCCATGTGTATGGGTTTCTTAAAGGAGACGCTTGGTGTTAAAAAAAAAAAAAAAAAAAAAAAACACCTCACTTCCATGCTGCAGCATTGGACTGCTGCTGTCTGTAGCCGGCTCTAAGACTGAGAACCAAACAATTACATGACCACTGATCGCTCAGTTCTCAGTCAGAGCAGAGCTTTCAGTCACTGCTCTTTGCTCTGCCCCTCCAGTGCTCACTGGAGTATAGGGCTGGAGGGGGAGGGAGGTGAGAGCAGCTGGCTATCAGCTGCATGCAAAGAGCCAGAGAAAGCTGTCATTTTGGCAGCTGGGTTCAACTCTGTGAATTCAGCCTACAGAGGGCTTTAGCCCCGCTATTGGTTGATTCTCGATTACAGATATACAAAACAGTAAGTGCACCCCTGTGTCCCAGAATAGAATTAAGACCAAAAAAGCTTTGCTGCTGCTGTTGGGCTGCTATACTGTCAGGAGTAGACATGGATATAGCTTGCTATACTCGGGATCCCTTCTTCTTAGAGCTTGGAGTAATGAGTCATTGAATTAATCACAATGTAAATAATAGTTTAGCCTGTGGCTGGTGTATAATTGTTTTATCAGCTACTGTGCCCTTGACTATAATCGGCTACACAAGAACTGCCATTTAATTTTATGAATTTTAAGCACTGTACTTTTTATATCTGAAGATTTCCTAGATTCCAAAGTTTTTACGAAAATGTTCAAGGTTTTTTTTTTTTTTTTTTTCCCTGTCGAAATCTATACCTGTATCTTACAGGGGTGTGGAAATTTTTTAAAAACTTCTTGTCCAAGGGACTAATTGGGGGGTCCCAGTCTACTTGTCACTGATTTAAAAAAAAAAGCAAATTTTAACAAACTGTATTTAAATCTGAGCTACTTTTAAAAACGAAAGGTGCTTTATGGCGACTTAGTGTTACTAAACCCAGGACCCTGCATTCACTATATCTGGTCTCCCACAGTACACAACATGGAAGCTCAATTATTTTAGTAAATATAAACTGCTGAATACCTTTTCTCAGCGGCAGTTAGATCAATCTTTTATCAATGTCCAGCCGAGCACATGTTAAAGCTTATAGGAGGAGTTTTCATTTTGCTCCAGGACAGAAGTATCCAAACTGCGACCCTCTGCTAGCATTAATCCGTCCCTTGGGGCACTATTCCTCCCACTGACACCAACATTGGGGCACCATTTCTCCCACTGATACAAATGATGGGGCACTATTCTTCCCACTGATACCAACGATGGGGCACTACTCTTCCTCTTACTGACCATCAACCCTGAGGCCATGTTTATTTTCACTGATGTTGGGCCCAGGACATTTTTACCGCTACTTACCACAACCCGGCCATCCTAAAGCCTGAAGGACAGTAAACTGGCCCTTTGTTTGAAAAGTTTGGAGACCCCTGCTCTAGGGGGATGCAGGACCCCTGACCTCTGTCTGGACAGTGCTGATTGGCCCTTGCTGATCAAATGCACTCTCCTAAGGAAAAAGATTTTGCGATCGCTGGCAGAATCATATTGATTCTGTCGAAATCCCAAAATGCCCAGGTGTGAATAGAGCTGGTTCACACATATGCAATTCTTGATGCGTATTCAAACTCAGATTTGCATGACAGGGTAGATAGTATGTGTTCCTATTGAGATGCAATCCACACACAATGCCAATGAAAAGGGTCCTGTGTGAGTTTGTGGTGGTGCGTTCCAGACTCGCAAGTGATAGTCAAGTGGCATGCGGAGACAAATGTTCACATAGGATTGCTATTGACAGGAGTTTTTGCCTTGAAGTCAGTGGGGCGGCTTTTTTGACCTTGAAGTCAGTAGGGGGGCAGTTTTGGGGAGATATAAAGTGCTGACAAAATCGCACTTCTACTAAAATCGCATAGAAACAGGAGTGACATTGTGATTTCAGTACACATTTGTGTGAATCCAGGCTAAATAGGCTGCTTGCCTGCAGGAGGGCTAAATGTGTAAAAAAAAAAAAAAAAAAAAAACACCTGCCCAGTGCCTGGAACTGCATGTCCTGGGCTCCGGGTGATATAAATTGGGCATCCCTGACCTTATTAGAGCTGGCCTGTAGTAAAATAATCCCACCACATATCTATACCCCCTTTTTGCTTCCCTTAATTCATAGATCTTTGTTAAAAAAAAAAAAAAAAAAAAAAAAGAAAAAGGTGCTTGACCAGGATTGTCAGTCCCCTAAACAAGTGTGTAGCACTATGGAGAATTCGAACACATTCAGCACCACTGTCCTAGGCTACTACTCAGTGCTGAGATTTTAATAAGATATAAATAATATTGGTACACATAGGATGTTGTCTAATATAGAGATTACATTAACTCCAATGTTTGAGGATGAAATGGTGTTCAGTACTGTATTGCTTTACCCACTTTTTTTTTTTTTTTTTTTTTTTTTTTATTAGACGTAAGACTTTTAACAAGGTTTCACTTGATGCGTATTGAAAAATCTGATATATTGCAGCAGTTTAGTAGCCAATATGTTTGTATTTCTGTTAGTGATGTTTGAATGCGCAATTGTCTTTTTAACATGTGAATCTTAATCCCTGAATATATTTCTCTACAGTTTAGTCTACCCTGTCAAATTGGACTTAATTTTTCAGTTTATCTGCTTCCTTTTTTCCCCCATTTCTTTTTAATCTATGTACATATTTGTATATTTTGCTGCACCCTATATCTGACCTGCACTCATTTGTCTTTCAGCATCATTTTCAGGTCAGACTCAAGCTGTGATAGTATCTCCAGCCTCCCTTAAGTCAGACACCATGCTGGCACCAAGAATTACTCAGTCCAGTGTTGTGATTGCACCAGCAGGCCTTGCAGGGGTAAGTCACTGATTGATATTAAAACATTATATTCTTACAGGAAGAGCTTTTCTGCCAATTATTATAGTTTTCAAGAAATTTAATAGGCATGAAAATCATTTAGTATGCAGAGCAGTGAGTCTTGGGGCCCATTCACACCAATGGGAAAGAGTTATGGCCTATACAACACACACCCGCTGGTATGCATTATGTTGGGCAGGCTGTCTCAACTAAGGCTCCTCCAGAGAGTGCTACAGGCTCCTTGGAGAAATTGATCTCCCAGTTACAGTGACTACCAGGGGGCAATTTCCCACTGACCTATAATGTACGGGATCACTTCTACGTTGACCTCAAGTGCAAAGGGGCTTTTGCCAGGGATCCCCCAATGTGAAGGGGCATTTCTCAACTGACCACTAATGTAAATGGGTAAAACAATTCACCCACAAGAGGCCACAAAATGACCTTTTTTTTACAGTCGGTTTTCTTTTTTTCTGGCCATTTTTGTATTCATTTATTGTAATGTTTGTTATTCGTGAGCAAGGGAATGTTGTAAAACTGTCTCTTTATGTTAAATATTATAGGTATGCTATATTGATGATTCTTTAAAGCTTTCAACTGCTTACTGTTCGTGCTTTTTAGCTGTAGAAAATTTTAGCAGGTATTCCCTAAAACCCTTAAGTGTAATTTCAGTCAAAACCTAACTAAGCTTAAAGATCTCCGGGATAGGCAAAAAAAAAAAAAATCACCCATTAGTATACTCCCCTACACTAAACAGTTACCATTTTGAGAATCCTTACCATTTAGAGAAAAAAAACCTCATTGAATTTTCATTACCTCATTGCTGTAAATCAAAAGATAATCTGCTCTACCAAGGAGGTGTAACAGTGATTACATCATATCCCCTCTCTCTCTCCCTCTCTCTCTCTCCAGTAAAGGAAACTACATTTCTCATCAATCACAGGGAATTGTTGTGAATGTGGGGGGGTACACTAGGCCTGTACATGTTGAATCTGTCCCGGTCCGCCCTTCACTGCAAGTGGGGCTAAATTAAATCACTACTTCCTGGAGCATGAACTACAGAAGGGATGTGCCAATACCAGTGGCTGTAGGAATGGGAGTCATTACAGCCGTCAGTCTTACAAACAGGAAACCAAAGAGAATTAACTGTTTGATTTCAAAATGAATAGGCTATTTTAGATCAACTACTGCGTGAACCAGAAGATGGATGACATTCAGTGACGGTAGTAAATAGGCAACAAAGACATGTAATGAAGTTTTTGCCCAGAGTTCTGCTTTAACCACTTCAGCCCCAAGCCATTTCTGGCACTTTGTTTACATTTTAAAATCCGTCTTTTTTTGCTAGAAAAGGTCTTAGAACCCCCAAACATTGTATATTTTTAAAGCAGAGACCCTGGAGTACAAATTGGTGGTTTTTGCATTTTTTTTTTTTTTTTTTTTCATACGGTATTTGCACAGCAGTTTTTTGGGAAAAATGCACTTTATTGGATTTTATTGCACACAGACAAATCATAATACTCATTTTTTTCATAAAATATAAAAGATATTACGCCAAGTAAATGAACACTAAACATGTCATGTCACACTTTTAAAATTGTGCAGGTCCGTGGAGCGGCAACAAATGGTGTATATTTTACTATTTATAGGTGACGCTTTAAAAACCTTTACCACTTTACATTTACTGAGGAGTTCTAGAATTACTGCCCATGATCTGACAATCGCAGCTATACCTCACCTGTCACTTTAAAAAAAAAAAAAAAAAAAAAAAAAAAGTTAATCCCTTATATTGCTGTCACAAGGAATGTAAACATCCCCTATGACAGCAAAAGATGCGCGACTGGTATTTTTATGGAGGGATCAGGGATCTGAGACCCCAACTTCCTCCTCTGCACTTAAAAACATTCAAACACCAAGATCTGCATTTTTGAATGCTTTCAGATTTTAAAAATGACGCCAAAAGTTTCCGAGTAAACCAGAAGTGATCGCTTCTGGTTTACAAGAAAGGAGAGCTGATCAAAGCAGATTCCGGCTTTGTTCAGCCAGCCGGTGGACATGCCAGCTGGTTTCTCGGGACTCCTTGTCGGATGGGAGATCCCAAGAAACCATGGGAGGGGATGTTCCCTACCGCTGCTTGTATAAGCAATCGAGTAGCTAGTAGCTGGCTGGCCATGGTCACCCACCCGGTAATTGGTCCTACATTGGCAGAGATGGACAGGTTCTTCCACCTCTTCCTTGTCTGGCTTTCCTTTATAATGCAGACCCCAAAAGGGCTACTCCGTGCCTCTCATTTTCTTCGACCATCTAACTGGATCCCCATTCAGATATTTGTTAGACGATCACCTATAGCTCTGGATCACTGGAGAGCCCTCCAGCTCTAACACTTTGTGTGCTCTATGCATAGACCTGCTCTCTTCCTTTGGCAGCTTCACTCCTTTGAGGAGCTCTGCTTGAATGAGGGCTCCACCCATGGTACCCTTTCATCTTGCTACAAAACTCTATTGTACCTCCATGCAATTGTCGATCCCCCTTTCTCAGCGAAACGGGAGAGGGATCTGCAGATGAGTTTTACCGAACCCCAGAAAGACCGTGTCCTCTTTGCGCAGAAATCTTCCCTCTACAGCAAACATCAAGAATTCTCTTATAAAATTATTGCCCGCTAGTACAGGACTCTTGGCCAAACTATTCCCCAATAAATCTGACCAATGCTGGCGATGTGAGCAACATCCTGGCACTAACCTCCATATCTTCTGGGAATGCCCTAAACTCCAGACTTTCTGGCAGCCAGTGCTCCAACTCATATGCAAATTTACAGACATATCTCTGCATAATGACCCAGCGACAGTCCTCCTTAACCTCACTCCCATTTCTAAGAAACGCTATCCCGAGCCAATGGAAATAGGCAGCCCCTACAGTGGCTCAATGGTTTGCTAAGGTGAATGACATTGAACAGATGGAGGACCTGTCTTCTAATATCTGAGACAAATCAGAGGAACACAAGACAAGGTGGTTTTATTGGGGCCGCTTTCGTTTCTCAGACTAATACCTCCGATATGCCTAATACTTGTTTTGTGTGTATGAACCAAGGATCGTTTCGGGTTGATGGGTAACATGGTTCCCTGCTCCCTAATGGTCAAGCCTCCCCTTGGACCTCGTATGACCTTTTTCCTCCCCCCCCCCCCCCCCTTTTTTTTTTTTCTTCTTTCTTTGTCTTCCTTCCTATAATGCATAAAGGAAGAATCTGGACTGCTGTGACCCGAAGATTTAGTTTTGCAGTTGACTTCACACACACAAGCCCCCCCCCCCCCTTCCTTATCGACCATTTCTTTTGACTCCGCAGGCACTGTGTGTGGGGGGGGGGGGCACATATGTTTTTCTTGCCCAGTAGGATCTTCCCAACTACTGTACTCAGGCCATGCTTTAACTGGGTTTCAGTTCTATGTAGACCCATTGATTGCCCTGAGTTACTGCTGTGTTCTTTCTGTGTATCGATATAGAAGTATTTTCCTTTGATTGTACCACTGTTATTTTGTTTATCTTATCTGGTTGGTGAAGTCACCTTTTCATGTCATTTCATTGTTACTGTCACATATCAGGCATCACTCCGGTACGGTACAACGTACAGGTACGTCGCTGGTCTGGAAGTGGTTAAAAAATATGTAAATCCAACATTTCATATTCCTGATATTTTCCTACTGTGCCATGTTCTTGTATGAAAATATATCCTGCTCTATTTGTATTGCTTTTTTGCTGTGAAATACCTGGAGTTCCTCCCAGTCCAGTCCCTTTCCTTTCCTATTTAAAAACTGACCACATTAGGCAGGAGAGCACACCGTGGGTCAGTTCTCTAGCTGGGCTGGAAACTCGGTGTGCTCTCCTCCTATGATCAGACTTCTGCTGACATTCCCCCCCCCCCCCCCAGCACAGCCATTCACTGGGAAGATCAGTGGAATGTAGTCTCTCCTCCCTTAGAGCCTTATGCAAATGAGAACAGAGGTAATGTCATCACTTTATTTTAAAAAAAAAAAAAAATTACAAGTACCTTTTCTCTTTTTATATCTGTACACAGATGTGTTGCGCCCCCCCCCCCCCTTTTTTTTTTTTTAATTCATTTTGAAAGAATCAGCATGGCATTGCAGGAGTCAAAAACATACGTCCACAACCTAAAATACAATAAATGAGGCAGATGAGCGCAAGTATGGCAAGGATCCGTAGACCCATTGAACACAAAGTAGAGGGACATACGGTGAATCTTGTCTACACACCAGGTCACGCTGATCCTCCCTTCTTTTTTGGTTATATACAAGTGTATAAGGCGGGGAAGTATCAAACCCAAAGTCAGAGAATAAAAAACAGGGGAGGGAGACAGAGAGGGATCATTCCCAATTGGGAGGAATAAGTCCCTCCCAACCCTCCGGGGTATGCATCTATAACAAGGTGTTCTCCAGAACCAGGAGGACTCACTTTATCGCTTTTAAGAGGTTGGGTTCCACATTTGCTGAATCTCTGAAATTCAGGTGAGCCATTGTGCTGCATCTGGTGGGAAGGACTCTTCTATTGTGCAGGAATACACAATAGTCTGCAAAAAATGTTTTACCTTTCATGTCCATTTTAAACTGAATGGGTTGTTTTACAAGGTGAAGGTTTATATTGTCTATACTTACCTATTCTAAAGTTGCTCCGGTCCAGCCCAAGGATCTCTCCAGCGGCTAGCTTCAGTGTAGAGATGAAAACAGCTACAATGGCTGCGGAGCCTGACCAATGATGTCACCCTTAGGCTTTACTATAGCGCAGCCATTGTCTGCTGTCCCTCCTCTACACAAACTGGAACCCCGTCATGTGACAGAAGCGACTTCAGAATAGGTAAGTATAGACTTCTCTCTTTTTACAGGGTATATAGAATAGGCTTAGAATGAGGGTGAGAAAAGATTTTAGCTTGGGTTTTGACTGGAATCACACCGTAAAATTATTTCAAGGGTTTCTCAAGGGTAAAAAGTTTGAGAGAGGCTGGTGTAGGGCATTGCGATGCATTCTTACGTGTCGAACTGTTTTTCATTGTTTTTTTTTTTGGTTTTTTTTTTAATTCCCCAATTTTTTCAAAATTACAGTTCATGTAAAGTGATATTAAAGGTTCGGCTTTAAAGGTAAATAAATGTCATACTTACCTGCTCTGTGCAGTGGTTTTGCACAGAACAGCCCCAATCCTCTTCTTAGCTGGTCCCCTGCCAGAGCTCCTGGCTCCTCCCCCTTGACCAGTACTCCCAATAGCAAGTTGCTTGCTATGGGGGCATCAGTGAGTGCTCACTCCCAAGCCTTGTTCTTTGTGTCCATAAGACACATAGAGCCATGGTTTGGCCTTGACCCCGCTCTCTCCTCATTTACTCACTGGCTGTGATTGACAGCAGAGGGAGCCAATGGCTCCTGTTGCTATCTCAGCCAATGAGGAGAGGAAGTGCAAGGATAGCTGAGGCTCCCATGCACATCACTGGATTGAGAGCGGGCTCAGGTAAGTATTAGGGGGAGCTGTGGGGGGGAGAAGCACATAGAACATGTTATCTTCATGCATAGAATGCATGAAGGTAAAAATTGTTCAGCCTTTATAATCACTATAACTTTACATACTGCAGTGTAGAGCGTTGCAACATGCTGCATAAAAATTTCTACATCTTTGGTTGTACTTTGGTACTGCGTTGGTGTGAAATAATTATACATAAGACTAATCCATATAAATTGACCCTGAAAATCTTGAAAAACCCACTGGAGAGACTTTTATCATTTCCTAATAGGAACTGAACAAACATTTCCCCATTAGGGACAGGCTCAATGAAAGGGCATATAGAAAACCATTATGTTCCATGTGCCCTGCTCACACCACAATACTGCATTGAGATTGGTTGTGGTACATTGCGTGCGAATGCATGCTGCATTTTTACCCAGCACATCTCACTGCTGCACATCACAACATTATGCATGCATGCTGTGCATAGATGCAAAGTATCATTTTGACAAGTTTAAAAAAAAATTAACAAAATACAGTACGATGTGTTGTAACATTAACTTTGTTCTGTTTGCGTTCACCGATGTTCCTTTGAAAGAAAAAAAATTGGGGGGTAGTGTTGTTTTTTTTCTTTTTTTTTTTTTTACTTTTCCAAGAAACTGTTGTTTTTGGTTAGCCTTACACTCATATGCAACTTTGTGACTGCATCATGTAATTCTACGTTTATTGATAATCCACGATTGGTGTATGATCAACATAACTTTATGTATATTATCCGTAAGTCACCAGAGCATGTTCTTTGTGTCTTTTTGTAGTCTTCTGGAGTACCAGAGTTCCATGGCAGTATTCTTGTTGGACCAGCTCAGCAATCTCAGGGCACCCAGAAGTCTCAGTCTGCTGTGTCTCAACTCTTTTCCAGTCCAACTCAAGACATCCTGGTGAAGAGAGAGATGTCCTCCCAGAACTGCAGCACTGCACCTTCTCCTTCATCCTGTGAGCTCAGAAGGAGAATACACCCTGTCGTGATATGTCATTGCAGTATTGTTTATTCCGGAGTATATGTGCAGCTATAGGTGTAGCTATATTTTGGAAAGCAATAGGAACCCTTTTCTACTTTTTTTTTTTCTTTTTTTTTGTGGAGATGAAAACTCCACTTTTAATAAAAATATTTATCTACCATACAGTTGTTTGATGAGCCATTTTGTAGTTTGTTAGGTCTTCTACACAATGGGCAGTTTAGGTGTGGGTGGAAGGCACAGGTGGACCATCCAGCCCTGCTGCCAACAGCGTATATAAAACTCTACGAGAAGCTGAAAGCTGCTGGGGCTAGATAGTGCACTGAGCAGTGCTTTGGTGCAGTATGGGCCCAGAGACAAATGCCCAGAATGCAGACTGCTTGCATTCTGGCCATTCATCCCTGGACATATACTGCTCTAATTTTTAGTACCATTCAGTACACTGTGCAGCTGCTGGCAACCCCTGCATCCGAGCTGGACGATGCATCAGTGCCTCCTGCCTGCCCCTAAACAGTGATCTAGTGACTGTAATGTGGTAGATCCTTCTTCTTAGTTTGAGGGTGTTGGTGAAATGGCCTCCATCAATATCTAGAGAATAGGAGCCAATACAATTCCAAAGTAGTTGCAGAAAATCCTTGCAATAGTCTGTGGTGGATTGTGTATATTTCGAAGACAGCAGGTCGACATTCCAGATGCCTACATGTCTGTTCCACTTCCACTAGAGTGCTTTAAACCTCCCCAGGTTTCAGAACCATTATGTGACTAGTGACTTAATCTAGTAAACTGATGTTTGCCCCTTCTTTCTAAGCATTCCTATTGGTCAGGCAATGTAAGGGGCAGCCTCGCAGACCAGTACAGAGGTGGGGGAGCACACATTTTCTACACATAAGAGACCCTTGGCATTAAGGAATTGGTTTCTGTCTAGAATAACATAAAACGGATGAGACCTGCAGACTTGGACGTAATTGAAATATAATCAGTGGTTTTGTAAACTAAAAATGGCCACAGGTATACTTTAAGCAATTCAATACCGGGCACTTTTACCCCCTTCCTGCCCAGGCCAGTTTTCAGCTTTCAGCGCTCACACTTTGAATGACAATTGCGCGGGTCATACAACATTGTACCCAAACTAAAATTATTTTATCATTTTCTTCACACAACTAGAGCTTTCTTTTGGTGGTATTTAATCACCGCTGGGGTTTTTATTTTTTTGCTAAGTTAAACAAAAAAAGACCAAAAATTTTGAAAAAAAAAAAACACGTTTTTCATTGTTTCTGTTATAAAAGTTTGCAAATAAATGTTCTTCATAAATTTAGGCCAAGATGTATTCTGCTACATGTCTTTGGTGAAAATAACCCAAATTAGGATGTATTATTTAGTTTGTAGGAAAGTTATAGAGTTCACAAACTATGGGATATATCTGAATATTGATCAATCCTGAAGTACTGACAGCCAATCTAATTTCTTGAGGTCCAAGAATGTCAGAACAGTACAGATATCCTCAAATGATCCCTTTTTGCAGTCCGACGTTCTTATAAGAGGCATGGCAAGTTTTTTGAAGTTGTATTTTTTTTTTGTCATAATTTTTCAGAAAATTAAAAAAAATTAGTTTCACTTTTTTTTTTTACATATTGTCACTAGTACAGTACAGCGTCGTCATATAACTGGCATGGCGGTGATCACAGACACTGACTGGTGACAGTATGAAAAAAAAAAAATAATTATATATATATATATATATTTTTTTTTTTTTTATTTGTTATTAAATTTTTTTTTTAAGAATTTTTTTTTGATTTTTCACTATGACCAAAGTAGTACAATGTTACCATAGTAACATTGTACTACTTTGGGGAAGTGATCAGTATTTGTTTTTTTTTTTACACAATTTGCTTATAGCAAAGAATTACTTTGCTATAAGCAAGCATTTAGCTGAATGACATCGATTTCATTCAGGGTTTTTTTTTTTGTGCTTAGCTGTGATTTGGCCACAGCTAATCACATGACATGTGCATGTGATTAGCTGTGACCATTCACAGCTAGACACTAGTATACAATGGATGGCATGAATGAAGCCATCCATTGTATACAACTGTCATGTGACCTGCTGTGATTAGTCACAGCAGGTCACATGGTACCGGCAACGGGGGCCGATACTCAGATCTGTCATCAGCCGTGTCCGAGGTACACGGCCGGTGACAGATCGCGCCGCTGCGTGGCTCTGCAGGAGCGCAATCTGCGCATGTGCAGGAGGACGCCATATGGCGTCCACCCAGAATGCTGATGACATTTGCCGGCCGCCATTCGGCAATAGGGCGGGCGGCAAATGGTTAAGTAACATGAACCTTGTAGCTGCACTCCTTCAGATATTGAAAACCAGAAACACTTTGTCTGATGTGGTGCTTTTTTTTTCATAGATGGCAATTCATTTTTCATTGATTTTTCTGCCAGGTAGTCCATTATTCAGGGGCAAATAGTATATTGAGGGATTGTTTATGCAGGTTTTTTTTTTTTATATTCAAGGATGGTCTATAAAGTAGCTGGTTGGTTACCTTTTATACTCTCCAAAAGAGCCAAAAACTGTCCACCATCACAGATCCCGAAATCAGCAGGAAGAAGATGAGCCAGTGTTCCAACAGTTACCACTGTCACAATTTTTGTCTAATTAAAACTGAGCACTAAAATGCACAAGCCGTTATTTGTGTTAGACTTCCAGAAAAGACAGATTTGATTATGTTTTCTAGTGATGCCTTCTAAGTATTGTCCATTTTGTCTTTCAAGATCGGGATTGTCACAGCTCAAGACAGGGGTCGCCATGTGCATCTGAACACAGCCTCAGCCCTCCACAAAGCTCAGGAAAAACCTCATCTGACTCTCAGTGCTCTGGATACAAGGTATAGTCTCCCAATCTGAGTTTGTTAGTCGATAGTTCTCGATCCTCACTCTGGACCTGTGTTTTGTTTTTTTGTTTTTTTAACTGTATTACAGTTTTTAATTACTCTTGGGTGTATTTTTTTTTTTTTTTTTTTTTGGAACTCCACTGAATTTAAAAGGCTTAGGGCTAGTTCACACCACAAAAACGTCCTCCAGATCTGTTCCGGATGCATTTCTGCATGCAATTTTTAACATAACTGTTATGCATTCCAGTGCGTTTCCGGATGCATTTTCTTTATTTTTTCCGCTGTACTGGGGTCTGGTGTGTTTTTAATGCACGTGGGGTTCCAGTGCATTTTTGATGAGTTTTACTGGATTCCAGTAAAGTTTTTTTGATGTTCTACTTTTTTTTTTTTCCTCTCTGGTACCTGATCTACAAGCACTCGTGAGAACTATGCCATTGAAAACCATGTAACCTACTTTCTGTGTGTGTTAGATGCAAAAAAAAAAAAGGCACTGGAAAGCATGTGGTGTGAACTAGCCCTTATTTTGCTGGATTGTTTTTTTCTAATCAAGTAGTATTTAATAAGTGTTTGGTTCACAGAACACAAAAATAAACATTTTAGAAGAATCATAAAAAATACCAGCAAAACAAGTTCTGTTCCTTGTATAAATCAGAGGCTCCACACCTATACACCTACATATGGCAGTATACAATAAAATATGTAGGAAACTACAGTGTACGATGCACAAAGTTTCGAACTGAAAGGTGACCCAAAGATACAGAGATATAGTCTTGATAATGGGCACAAGCTGCTCTCACGGGTAGTAAATTTCTCTCACAGGTAGTAAATTTCAAACCAATTTAAAAGTTATTTCAATGAGACAAACCCAGAGAAGGAAAGGGAACTACAGGTACATTTTTTGGCGTTTCTTACCAAACCCCTATGTCGATTTATTTTTTTCTCTCTCAAAAATGGCATTGTCTGTATTGCACCATTGTAAAAAGGTGAGGACCAGGAAACAGCCAGCGCAGTGCAATGAGCTTGTGTGCAGGAAACAATAAACGCACCATCAGCAATTTAGACGATGGTGGCACTATATCCTCAAGAATAATGCTGACACAGCTGACCAATATTGATTTAGTTTAGGACACTGTCAGAGCATATGGATCCTGCCCCAGAAGTAGAATTTTTGAGGCGTATAGTCAGGGGCGGACTGACAACTTATGGAGCCCCCGGGCAATAGGGGATCATGGGGCCCCTGTGTCCTTGCCCAAACTCAAAAAGAGCCTATGAAAAAGGTACCAGGGGCATCTCATGGGGCCCCCTACTGACCCCGGGCCCTCGGCAGTGACCGAGTTTCCAAATGGTCAGTCCGCCCTTGAGTATAGTATACCGTGTGTAAAATAAACAGCATTGTTCGTTTTTAGGAAGGAGAAATATACAGCAGGTATCGCTTCTAGCACTGCTGTCCACTGGTCATTCTGCTGGATTTTAAGAGCACATGGCATTTATATATTAACATGTGGGATGCCATGAAGGCCCACTTAACAAGTTCACATATTTTTGTAGATTTTCAGCTTGACTGGGTGGGCTCTAGTAGATCCCTGATATCTACATAAAGTCAACCTGTCACTTCCCAGATATAATGCCATATAAGGGGCATATCAACCCTTTTGTGATAGTATTAACATTTACTTCTGCATTCTTTTCATGCATAGCAGGGCAATGGGATCAAATAAAGGAGACGTTTGTATATTCTATACTTGCTTCTATGCTGCAGCATTAGTCTGATGCTGCAACTGTGCCATGCTGGCTCTAAGCCCGAGAACCTTGGTCACTCAGATTTTTATTTGCTTAGAGGAGAGCAGTGACTTGGCAGCAACTGTCAGTCTTGACAATATAGTCTGGATCCTTCCAGAGCCTGGAGTGGCTCTGTGTCATCAGCTGACAGCGACCTTTAGCGCACAATAAGCTGACTATGGGTCACAGGAGAGCACAATGTAAGTGCACTCCTGTGACCCAGAAAAGAATGGCCAAAAAAAGTATTTTTAAGTGGTGCAAGCCACCCTAGCTGCTTATATTCACCTTGCCTTTTCTCCCCTGCGGCTGTTTACCCACAGGAGCAAATAGCCCTGTGTACACTTCAGATTGTTCAGGTCAGAGCTTACACAAGGTTAAAGGTTGTTTTCATACCCCACTTTGACAACACTGTACCTGGCAATTGGATAATTGGGCATCCAACACTGAATTGGTTAACTCACATACTCCTCCAACTCCACAACTCCCCACAAAGGACTTTATTTTTTTTTTCCGTTTTGGATACTATAAGGGAGGGTTGTAACCCCTGTCAGTTTTTTGTTTTGTTTTTTTTTTTTGCCATCTGTGTCCCATTGCATTTTCCTTCACTTCCCATTCCATAGCCAAACAGGAAGTGCGAGGAAATCCCTGCAAATTAAGGGATACCTTGGTGACCCCCAGGTCAACAGAACTAGTGTCCCCGCTGTAAGATTTCCCCTCTATTACCTTTTTTCAGGGGATAATCCGAAATTTGGGTTTTTCTTTTACTCTCACTTTCTATGATAATGGTAAGCAGGACAAATAGAGAGGTTGAATCTCCCTAACAGGACCACAGACAGCAATAAAAATTGATGAGTGTTCTAATCCCTCTGTACTCTATCCAAAACTAAAAAAAAAGTATTGCCTTTAGTTATACTTTAATATTTTCTGCTTCAAAACCTTTGTTAATTCACCTACATTTGTCCTGTGAAAATATCTGACTCCTGGGTTTTCAGAAATAGAAAGTAATGGTGTTTGGACACTGGGCTACCTGTTGTTTTCACAATGGATCGAAATATGGAAATAATAGGCCACAGTCTTTATAAATACAGGGACAAATGAGTTTTCTGCTGTCATCTGCTGGTGTGGTTCAAAAAATAAAAAAAGATCTAATTGGTGGTTGTGCGTAACACAGACACTTGTATTTCTTCCAGTCTCATAACTTTCTCCCAAAGATTCAGAATCCATTTAAATACATTTTCTGCCAACAGCCAGCATACAGGGGAATACGGACAATATGACATGCAATTAATCTTATATAGGAAGTCCTATTTATATTGCATTTTGCTGAATTTTTGTTTTTATCTTGCAGAATGAAAGATTGAAGCATATTTCTGCAGAACAGAAGAGGAGATTTAATATAAAGACTGCCTTCAACACACTGCACAGTTTTGTTTCCTCAAGCTCCAAGCCGGTACTTGATCAGCCACTTTGAAATGTATTGTGCCTTGTTGCAGGATATATTCTGTACAATTGGTTACAGTAAGAGAAGTGCTATGGTTCCTTATGGGTATTATTCTCACTGTTTCGTGCTCTGCCAGTACTTGGAATATGGTGGTCATAACAATATGGCAAACAGAATGACCATCTAAAGATTTCTTTGCTCCTGAGCCAATTAAAGGCTCTTTGCACCTGTCATCAACTAGAAACACAAGCTTGTGGATAGCTGATATCCCACTATAAAAAAAATTTTCGGACAGCTTTGTCTCAGTACAGCCAATATGATTTTTTAACCTAGCGTTGTTTAAACAACTATTCTGTTCATCTTTAACTCCAATCATTATGAATTAACATGTATTATGATTTTGTCATCTGTAAACCTTTTACTGGTTTCAAGATGTCTGGATTATCACAGCTGCATTGCGCAGCCTAATAATTGTCCATTTGCCCCCAGTGCAATGGTAGACTACTACTTACAATGCTGTGCTAAGGGATTTCAGTATGTGATGCAGTGAGCTTGTGACAAAAACCCGGTGCCTGACTCCTTCTCACCAACTCAAGCAAAGGACCAGCCAATCTCACACTGCGCTGTCACGTGCATGACAATGCCACTCTCAGCTGCACCCTGCACAGAGATTTTCCAGCTCGTGGGACCACAATGTAGGTGCCAGCAGCCTGAAAGCAATTGTCACTGGGCTAGGTTAATTACCAATTAACCCTTCAAACACCAAACTGCCACAAGATAGCTTTGGCCTATCAACCCATCACAATGTTAGCAAGAACAAATGTGAACAATAAATGTCTGTAACACACACTGTCACCACAGACAGAGGATTCAGAGGATTATTATATGCAGTAGCACTCTTCAGGAGACAGGGTTTCTTTAGTTTGCATTAAAAGCCTTAGATCTAGTTTTAACACTTTTTACAATAGGGTTTATGAATGAAAAGGTCAGATAGTGCAATTAAAAAATTTACAGAAAAGGATGTTACAAAGATATAAAGAGAACAGTAACGCAACAGAGAAATAAAAGGAGGTGAAAATGGAGAATACTTGCAAAGTCCTGGTTTTTGCGGATTCCAATTATCAAGAAAAAATGTTGTCATGGCTCTCTTGGGTGTTCCTTGGTTGATGATAAAACGAGAACTACCTTAACAGGTCCTGTCAGTCCTTTTTCTGTGATATCAAAGGGGTGTCGACCAAGACCATCTCACCAATCATCCGGTTTTAGGGATGGACGCTGGGAGGTCACCAAGTTTATGACCAGGTCCCATATACAGTTTTATACTAAAATTAATAACTTCCAATATGTGCAGGTGGTGTTCTAGAAACTGGCAGATTATTATTCAGAATTATATTTGTATCCAGGGATAACAAACCGTGTACCTTGGATGAATCTGTCACCCAGGAAAGAAGACTGCTTTCTCCCCTTTCGTATGTGCTAGGGTAGTCATGTATGACCTTGAAATGTTCGGTATGATATTCCCCATTCAAAGATTTAACTAATATTGTGTCCTGTTCCTGTTGGATTTTACGAATTGTGTGTAGATTTGTTAAGCTGTGGAATAGACGTTTAATGGCACGCTGTGCATTCCTAGAGCTTTAATGACTTTACAGGTCATGTGTGACAGGCTTGACTGAGGAGTTCTTGTTTTACGATAGGTCAGAAGGAAGACTTTTTCATGGTTCATGGAAACAGACATCCTGCAGACTTCAATTAATGTTTTACAGCTCTGACCAGGTCTTTTTGCTGAATTCTGTTGTCCCTGATTGGGATAAGAGGCTCCTTTGTAGTAATTATGGCTACAAATTCCATAGTTTCCTGAGACTTTAACAGATTGCTGTCTCCTACAGCTTTCATGTCCCTATTGTGCACAATCATTACAGGGCTGATTCTCAAAGGGTAGAACAAAAATTGTGAGTTTTTCATGTGCAGCATTTCAGTTTGCTCTAAAAAATGAACAGTGTGGTTACTGTTGGTAATTGTGCTACTGCAGTTTTATTTTCTGTTGTGTACAAGAGCTTCTCAATATTTATGTTGTGTCACCTACCCCAGATCAGCCATGCGATCACACTACAGAAGACAGTGGAATATATTGCCAAACTGCAGCAAGAGAGGGCCAACGCATTGGAAGAGACCAGACGACTCAGGGAGAAGAAGTAGAAGAGTTGAACATTGCCATCAAGTATGGATTACCTTTTGTCTCATGTCCTCTATTGTGAATTATGTATTTTACTTTGCCTCCTACATTTATTAATTAGAAAAATATTTTCAGTTCCTGTCAGCAGCAACTTCCAGCCACTGGTGTACCCATAACTCCACAAAGAACAAACCATATGAGGGATCTGTTTGAAAAGTATGTGCAGAGAAGAACGTTTCAAAATTGGAAGTTCTGGATTGTATCCTTTGTTCTTGCACAAATCATTTATAACATGTGGGATTTTTTCACTGTGTGTGCGAGTACAGTTACATATATTTTTTGATAGATACATACAGTGTGTTTGTATGAGATAGCTAGACATCTATAGATATATCTATATCCGTTTGCCATGTGATCTCATTTTCAAATGGTTTGAATTTGGGTTTGGCAGTACAGTTAAAGTGGTTCTAACAGCTCAAGGTTTTTTATCTTCATGCATTCTATGCTTGAACGTAAAAAACCTTCTCTGTGCAGCAGAAACCCCCCCCCCCCCCCCCCCCGCCAATACTCGCCTAAGCTTCCTCTCAATCCAGTGATGTGCACTGGAGTCTCGGCTATCCTGGGACTCCCTCTCCTCATTGGCTGAGACAGAAGTGGGAGCCATTGGCTCCCACTGCTATCAGTCACAGCCAGTGAGCCAATGAGAAGGGAGAGGGGGTGGTGCCGAGCCGCAGCTCCGTGTGTGAACGGTCACACAGAGCAGCAAGCTGCTTGCTGTGGGGGCTCCCGACAGGAGGGAGGGGCCAGGAGCGCCAGCGGGATATATATATATATATATATATATATATATAAAATAAGCCTTTAGAATCACTTAACCTACGTAAATGTATGAAAGAGAGCCTATAGGGCAGCCTGCCATCTGACTATACATAGCAAATATTTCATATTTGCTTGCTTAAAACAAATTCAAATATAGTTTGTTTTTTTTAACACTGGGAAAAAAAAAAATATACAAACACTATACCTTTTTGTAAGTACACCAGTGGTCAGATCTCTGCAGGCAAAATTTGAGGTGCAGCCACCTGCCACAGCCATTATGAGGGTCGCACATGATATGTTAGATTTTTCATGTGTTCTATTATGGAGTGTGCAGCAAGCGAGTGTAGTGAGACACAGATCCAGGAACTACAGTTGTGTAACCTCTGTACCAGAATCTCCCAAGTGATATAAATGGGTCATTTAATCAAAGGCTCAAGTATCCATTGAACTTAGCCCAGTAGATTTGCCCATTCTACCCAACCTTGGTTTAGCCCAAGGCTAGATATGGAAAAATATTTGTTATACTGATTTGTAGTAGATGAAAAGTTTGGTTTATTTTACATGATCTTTTTTCTTGCTGTCCACCTCCTTTTGTTTTGCGCTTTTTTTTAATTACCGCTGATCTTTTAAAATTTATTTTGCCGAGAGAAATATCGAATGTAGTTGGAAGCAATTTTTAGTGGCCGTAGAGAGCACAAAAGTGGAAGCATTGATTTGTAAAGGGGCGGTAATAGCAGTGATCTCTAGCAGTCTCATGTAATGTGCCTTTGGTTTATGACTGTCTCCTAACGTATATTTCAGTCTCCCAACTCCTCTTGCTGTAAAAACCTGTTTATAAATGTTTTAAAACTTTCCTGTAGCATGTCTGCCATTAATGACCATTTCTTGTATCATGCTGGACTACCTTCTCTTGTTTGTCCATCAGCCTTTTGTAGCATTGCATTCAATGCATATTATGTGCAGCTTTTATTGATGGCAGGTGCTGCATTTGAGGCCCCTATATCAAGCCGGGTGACCACCACTGCAATATAGACTTTAGCTGTGTTCTGAAAGATGTGGACATTCAGCATTCAAGCCTAATAGGATCATACCATGACTTGATTGGACGGATATGCTATTTTCAATAGCATTTTTATCTGGTTTGTTCTTGCATGAATACAGAGTTTCTTTTAGGCCCAATAACTCTTATGTATCTTGTAATTCTGTTTAATGAGACTCTCTTGCTAGTGTCTGATAGCATGTATGCTGTGGTTCCTCCTGCCAATCCTGCAATACTACTGTATTTTGTAGTGATGTAGATATTGTGGAAGGAACAAGAGCCTCCAACAGGGAACATGTTATCCCAAACACCTGCAAAGATCCAATAGACAGCCTGGTAAGTGTACAACTTATTATTTTTTTTTTACAAGGATTTTATATACTAGGGAGAGGTTTGTTTCAAATATAACTGACAATCATCATTGTCCAATTTTTTGTCATCTTCATTATGATGTGTTGTAAAATAATTTTGATATCTATTAATGTAAGCACTACAGTCACAATACAGTGAACAGCTGTTAGATGTGTTATTGGGTTTTTATCTACCTTTTTTCCTTAACTCTCTGTGCACTCAGTTCAGCATCATTATAAAGCCTTTGTTTGACTCTTTCAATGACATGGTATCTACAGCTAGCATAGAAGAATTATACAGCACTACTAAAGAATGGCTGGAACATCATTGCTCCCTCCCTGCATTGAGGCCCAGTAAGTACATTTTTCCACTTTTTATGTTTGTTTTTTTCCATCAATTGCTCAATTTAAGTCGGATGTTTATTGGTTTAAATATAATTTTGTTGTTTTTTTCTTTGTTTTGTTTTTTTATTTTCACTCTTCTAGTGGTGCTAAGTACACTGCGTCATTTGAGCACAACAACCTCCATCTTGACTGACCCATCAAGCCTGCCGGAGCAAGCCAAGCAGGCTGTCCGTAAAGACAGTAAGGGTGCTGGTGGTACATAAATACTATGTACTTACTCTTAAATCGAGAGAAGAGCTTGTGCTGTTACCTTTCAGTGCTCTCTGTGAGCTGCATTTCAACACTCCACCTGTGTATCTGTGCTGCTGCAATTGGTAACTGGCCATCCAATGCATCCTTGGCTTTCAGGGACAACCCCTATCTCAGCGGATCTGCAAGGTGTCACTACTACGAAGGGCCAGGAGCAGCTGAAGAATTCCTGTTCTTGGAGCCTCAACAAGAGCGTTAAAATGACCCAGTGTTTCAGAGCGGAAAAAAGCGTTAAAGGGAATACATTTCTGTGATGTCATCATTTTATTTATTTTTTTAATTTTTTTTTTCAATTAATCTCTGCAGCCTTCATTTTGAGTGTTTTTAAACCCTTCATTTAAAGGGCCTCACACTTGCCTTCTAACAGTTAATGAAGGTATTTTATGTGTATCTAAAAGTTGAAAATTGTTCAGTAGAATAATCAAGCTATGCCCTCAATTATTTAATCTTCACATTATTGGACTCAGGTTTCTGTTTTAGGTTCCAAAGGCGTTTCTGGTGCAAGTGCTGCATTGAGATCTCATATCAGAAATTGCGTATAATTTCTCATAAAGTCAGCAATATAAGCTTTCAGTTGTCGTTGCTTGTAACTGAGCATGTGCAAAATTCTCTTATATTCCGCCTTTGCTTATCAAACACCAGTCTCTAAACAATGGGGACTTATTTTTATTTCTATGAACAAAATGCCATGGCTTTCTGTTCAGAGAAATATTAAACTAATTATTACCAATTTTGAAATATTACTGCTGCATTTCTCTGGAAAAAAAGTTCAGCTGCTTTGACTTAAGAAAAATGTTTAGAGAACAAAAACCGGGTATAGTACACATCACATTTGATGGATGACCCCGACATTTTTATTGTGTCTTGCTGGGGGATTTCAATAGAGAAGGTTTATTCTCGGCGGGGGGGGGGGGGGGGGATTGTGTTTAAAACTACCTCCTGGGCTGGGCTTCAAAGGGTTGTTTGGAATTTTAAAGGTAAAATTGTGGTAACTGATAGAAGATTATGTATTTTACAGTGGGAGAGTATTGGCAAACGCAGCAAAAGTTTAATAATTCCATCCAAAATATTATTTGTTGGCTTGGATTCAATCAATGTAGCATGCTGTACTTTTCTGACTTTGTTGGCTTCTGCAGTGATGTGATGCCACTTACCCTAGAATGGGTTGGAAAGAAAAGTCACAACCCAATCCACAAATATTACCAATGAAGTAAATATAGAAATTGGGGGGTAGGGTTGTGACTCCTGTATGTAGACCTAAAGGTGTCCAGAATGGTAGAGGCATCAAACCTGCTATGGTGGCCGATTGTGTTCCAGAAGCTGCAAAGGACAGCTGAAGTGTTGCATGTGTTTTTTTATACATCATATCCCAAATAGGTTTGCCGTGTCCTGGGAATTCTATAAATTTCGGCATTTTTGCAGCAGGTCTTAATGCCGACATATCTTATTCGGTTGTGTTTTACAGTTCCTACCAAGATTTTAAGTTTTTTTGCATCCTGGTGAGTGCTCATCACAGAATGTTTCATATAAATTTTCTTCAGTGTTCCCTGTGAACTGTACTATATTTTCAGTGACCATGATGATTTCTTCCACATGGAAAATCAGAATGCTCATGTGTGTTATAAAGGTCATTTATGTCCCCAGTGCTCAGACCTAATATTTTATCTATTCCTTATTTGAGCTTTGCATGATTTATACACAGGGGGATAAAGTGATCTCAATAAAAGTTAATATCTATATATAATGGTCTGGCGGTATTTGCTTTTCTTTACTCTCTGTGCAGTATTAGTGTCCAGGATAATATCTAAACCCAGGAATAAAAATGTAATATTTGATGTAGTGAATGCATTAGTTTTACCTTTTTTAAAGGCCAAATACATTTTTTTGTCAAGCACAGAACATAGCGCAGAACATAATTTGTTGAACCTAGTAGAAATCCTGTGTCCTTTTAACAAAGTTTTGTATTCTTTTCTGGGTAACAGGAGTGTACTTTTTGCCTGTGACCCAGAATCAGCTGAAGCCTGCTGTTGGCTGATGTCACAGAGCTGCTTCAGAGTCTGGAAGGATCCAGGCAATGTCGGGATCCACCCAGATGTCTGGTGCCACTGAGAGTCTGAGCCATCTGTGCCTTCAACTCCAGTGAGTGCTGCAGGGGTGGAGAAGGCTGCAGAGACTGACGGTCAGCTCTGAGCAGGGAGCAGTGACCAAGAACTGAGTGATCAGCGGTCATATGAGCACTCTGTTCTCAGGCTTCGAGCTGGCAGGGGACATCTGCAGCATCACACCGATTCTGCAGCAGGGGGGAATGTGTGGATTTTTTTGTTTTTATTCCCATATTACTTTAACGTGCTTTACAAGATGATACATTACCACCTTTCTGTGAACCACACAACCTATTTCCCCTATGTAATAGAGGTGATGGGAGGGGGAGTGTAGTCTAAAGTGATAATGCTAGAGTCTGAGCATTGTCCTTGGAAAGGAAGTGTTTTGCTGGCAAAAACACAAGGTTAAGTTCAATTTAAAATTATGGGCACAGGGGTGGCTAATGAAGGAAAACTAATACAGCAATCACATCTAAGGACTGGTAAGCTGCAATATATTCTTTTTTTGTTACTGGGTTTAGATAAGCTTCAAGTTGCATAAAGAACTATTTCATGTTCTTTCAGCATCACAAGCATTACACTTTACACAGTATACAGAGCCTAGCGTCATGGGTGCTGTTCGCTTAATGTTGTTGTTTTTTTTGTTTTGTTTTGTTTTTTTCCCCTTGTGTAAGCACAATGAGCAAAGTCAATGTAAATGAAAATGTGATATTTGATATGAGTAAAGGTCTGTATGAATGTGTGTGCGTTTGTGTATATCAGGGGTGGGCAACCTGCAGCTCTTCAGCTGTTGCAGGACTACAAGTTCCATCATGCCTTTGCAAGTCATAGCTGTAACTGTCAGTTTTGCAATATCTCATGGGACCTTAGAATCATGCTTGTAACTTCCGGTCTTTGCAATGCCTCATGGGAAATATAGTTTCACTACAGCTGGTTACCCACCCCGGGTGTGTGTGTGTACACACAGTGCCTTGAAAAAGTATCCATACCCCTTGAGATTTTCCATACTTTGTCACGTTACTACCAAAAATGTGAACAAAAGTGGCACATATTTAAGTGGAAGGACAATGATAAATGTTTTTACAAATATCTGAAAAGTGTGGCGTGCATTTGTATTCAGCCCCTCTGAGTCAATACTTTTTACCTTTTGCTGCAATTACACCTGCAATTTTTTTGGGGGGATGTTTCTACCAGCTTTGCACATCTAGAGTGAAATTTTTGCCCATTCTTCTTTGCAAAATAGCGCAAGCTCTGTCAGATTGGATGGAGAGCATCTGTGAACAGCAATTTTCAAGTCTTGCCACAGATTCTCAATTGGATTTAGGTCTGGACTTTGACTGGGCCATTCTAACACATGAATATGCTTTGATCTAAACCATTCCATTGTAGCTCTGGCTGGATGTTTAGGGTCATTGTCCTGCTGGAAGGTGAACCTCCGCCCCAGTCTCAAGTCTTTTGCAGACTCTAACAGGTTTTCTTCTAAGATTGCCCTGTATTTGGTTTCATCCATCTTCCCATCAACTCTGACGAGCTTCCCTGTCCCTGCTGAAGAAAATCATCCCCACAACATGATGCTACCACCACCTTGTTTCACAGTGGGGATGGTGTGTTCAGGGTGATGTGCAATGTTAGTTTTTAACCACATATAGCGTTTTGCTTTTAGGCCACAAAATTTTAATTTGGTCTCATCTGACCAGAGCACCTTCTGCACATGGCGTCTTGCAAACTGCAAATATGTGGGAGGACACAGCAAATGGGACTTCTTATGGCTTTCTTTAAACAATGGCTTTCTTCTTGCCATTCTTCCATAAAGGCCAGATTTGGGGAGTGCATGACTAATAGTTGTCCTGTGGACAAATTCTCCCACCTGAGCTGTGGATCTCTGCAGCTCCTCCAGAGTTACCATGGGCCTCCTGGTTGCTTCTCTGATTAATGCTCTCCTTGCCCAGCCTGTCAGTTTAGGTGGATGGCCATGTCTTTGTAGGTTTGCAGTTTTGCCATACTCTTTCCATTTTCAGATGATGGATTGAACAGTGCTCCATGAGATGTTCAAAGCTTGGGATATTTTTTTATAACCTAACCCTGCTTTAAACTTCTCCACAACTTCATCCCTGACCTGTCTGGTGTGTTCCTTGGCCTTGATTATGCTGTTTGTTCACTAATGTTCTCTAACAAACCTCTGAGGGCTTCACAGAGCAGCTGTATTTATACTGAGATTAAATTACACACAGGTGGACTCTTTTGACTAATTAGGTGACTTCTAAAGGCATTTGGTTCCACTAGATTTAAGTTAGGAGTATCAGAGTAAAGGGGGCTGAATACAAATGCATGCCACACTTTTCAGATATTTTGTAGAAAAAAATGTTGAAAACCAGTTATTTTATTCCACTTCACAATTATGTGCCACTTTGTGTTGGTCTATCAAATAAAATAAATTTATGTTTTTGGTTGTAACATGACAAAATGTGGAAAATTTCAAGGGATATGAATTTTTTTTTTTTTTTTTTTTTAAGGCACCGTATTTATATAATACACACACATACTTACGCGCTTTGTATGTTTTTCAATATAAAGTCCAATACCTGGTCGAATGAAGGCAGTATCTGATAACATGCAACTGTTTCTAAAATGCCCTTTTTCAATTGTAATAATCAGTTTTAATGGTGGTCTATATCTGTCACCTGTTGCTGTTTATTATGCCCTCTTCCTCCAAGAACTGCACACAAAAAACCCTATCTGCATATATATCTTAAGAAAAAAAAAATACTTTGATGGAACTTCTTGATCCATGCATGGGTTTAATGTTTACCAGCAACACAATAAAGCAATAAACATTTGACCTCAAATGAGTT